GCCGACCCGAATCCAACTGTGGTATGGCCTATTGTTCAACATGGGCTTTGGTTCCGTCCTTGGCCAGCGGGTCCGTGAACCCGTTCGACGTCCGCGAGATATGCGTCCATAAGATGGGCGTATACCTGCAAAGATGCTAATCTCATCATAAATGGACCCATGTTACTAGGGGGGAGTAGCTGTCCTAGAAACCCAAGAGATAATGTTTCTAGCGTCTCCCTCCACTAATAGTAACTGTACCCAAGATCAGTCAAAACTTTGTATGCCTCTGAGGAGAGCCATTGATTCAGTGTACTCTGAATCTTGGATGCCGAGATATTCAGAGAAGGTAAATAATATTAGATGAGGCCAATAAGAAACAGACAGAGTGCATATAAATGTAGAAGATTACAATCAAAATAAAGTGTCTACGGAGATGAACAGAGTAAGAGAGGCGGAAGATCAAAACATCATAAACAGCCTGAAAGAAACATACCAGAAAATGAGCATAAACACAAGCAAACTGGAAAGAAGAACTAAAGCACACCAAAGTAGTAAATCTAGACTGAGAGGCTCTAAGCAGCTCTCTTCACTAGTGGACCCTATGAACCCTAACAACGCGAGGGAAAAAGTCAGTGGAAGTGGAGAAATGAGCAAAGGAGGGAGACACTTGGTCCCAAAGGTAGGGGGAAGAGTTCATGAGGGAAGAAGGGTAGGAAGGACGAACCGAAGAGAAGAGAGAGGGATGGGCAGACCAGGTGGGGAGAGACCCAGGGGAAGTGCAAAGCAGGGGCAGGGAAAAAGGGGAGGCGAGAGAAGAAGGGACAGAGGAAGGGGAAGAAAAAAGAGGAGGATGCGAAGAGGTAAATGCCGGTTGCAGGCCGCCATCAGGAGAAGTCCACGCGTCAAACTAGGGGGAAGGCACGGGGGCAGGGGGAGGCTCAAGGCCAGGAGCAGGGCAAGCGAGTGGAGAGGGTGAGGAAGCCGAGACTGACAGAGAAGAGGAGGGACCAGGGGAACAAAATTCAGAGGGGATGGGGAGGGGGGGGGGTGGCAGGCGGCACAAGAAAAAAGACGCCAGCTGGCAGCGAGGCAAACCGAAGGGGGGATTTGGGTGGAAGGAACATAGAATCTTCATGAGGGGGAATTTGGGTGGAAGGAAAGCTTCTTCTAGTTCTACAATTCTTGGGGCTAAGGATTAAAGATTCTAAAAGCGAAACTTGGATAGGGGAATAAGAATGAGAATCATAATTAACTGAAGACTGGAGATCAACTAATTCTCTAATACCTTTAAAACTTTTGCGAGAGATAGTTACCTGGGCAGCTCCTATGTCCTATCTGAGGGAGTCCATGAACCATGATATCAGCTATGCTACCATCAAAAACCAAGCCCATGGCTTGAATCATATCACGCACATTAGGCTCTCCTCTGTTGATTCTTTGGAGTTTCTAAATTGTCCACCTCAATAGGAAATTGGATGTCTGAATCAAATCCTTCCAAGGAGGAGTGCCGACTCAAATGGGCCATGGGAGAGGAAGGGGGGGAGTGGAAGATAAGGTCCACGGAAACCGGGGATGAGGCAAACGCCATGATGTTAGCACCAAAAGAGGGATCAGAGGGAATTACTTGTAAAGGGATCAGGGAGGAGGGGTAAGCTTGCAGTTGGGGATGGGGGATGGGGGATGGAAGGGTGAAAGAAGTAGTTCAGGGGTAAGATAAAAGGGGGGATCCTACCTTGAGAGGACTGGTAAGCATTGAGGGCTAGCCTCATTTCCAACAGGAGAGGGACTAGGGAATCAGGTCAGATTGAGGCAGGCCTAAACCAACAGGTCTAGGGATAGGGATAGAAAAAGGGTTAGAGGGGGAGGGGGTGGGAGGGGAACGAGCAGGGTTTTTGATAGGAATAGCAAGAGAGTTAGAGCAAATGGAGGTGGAAGGGGAAGTTTCTGAGAAAAAATAAAGTGGGGAGAAATGAAGTCTGAGAGAGTAAGAAAGGGAGGGGAACCCAAAGCAGTGAAAATAAGAGGGAGAAGGGGATGCGAGGACCAGAGGGGTAGGTATGAATAGGGGCCAACAAAGTCTTGGGTTTCCACCATCTCCCGAGAAGGATCGGGCGATGTTTTTGCCTTCTCGGCATGAGAGTGGGAGGAGAAGAGGAAGAGAGCAGATGCGGTAGAGATAGAATAGAGGGTGAGAAAAGGAGTTGCAATAGGATGAGGAGAAAGGGTAGGAGGAATGGGATGAAGATTGGGGAAAGACATCAAGGAAAGGAGAAGAAAGAGAAACTGAAGGAAAATAGGGGGTAGCTAAACCAGATAGAAAGGGGGTGGCGTGATGGAATGAGGTAATGATGCCAAGGGAGGATAACGAGGCCTGGGATTGAGGAAAACCAGGGGGAAGAGAGAGAGGGATAGGAAGAGGAAGGGCGGGAGGCTAGGTGGCAAGGGTGGAGCGGGAGTAGAGGTGACAAGGTAGCAAGGGATACTGATGACGAGAAATGAGGAATAAAGGAAGATGATGGGGAGGGGGAGGGGGAGGGGACAGAGAGGTCATTAATGAGGAAGACCTCGAGAGAAGGTAAAGAGATGAAGGTGACTGAACACTTTGGCTAGGATTGATTGACCGCATGTACGGGGAGACGAGACACATTGAAAGCAGAAGCTTTCTCAAGGACACATGGCGGAACATACACAGAGTAGGAAGATGAGCCAAAGGAAGACAAGACGAAAGGAAGACGGCCGGAGGATGAAGGGGCTGCAGGGGTAGGGGACACGAAGGACAGAGGCTGCAAGATCAAAGGGGCGGTGTCAAGCGCTAGGGAATGGGAATAGATCCCGGGGCCTGGGGAAGAACGAGAGAGAGAGGAGGGCGAAATTAATACACTCTCGAAAGTGGTATGCGAAAGCGGTGTCAGGTGGACTGCAATAATTGCATTGTCATGGACGAGACCAGAAGATCAGGGAGGTGGTGGGGTAAGGGGAAGGCTAGGATTAGGGGATTTAATGGGGTTCGTTGATGGAAAGATTCAGGAGCATCCCGAGGTATGATGACATTACCGATTGGAACATGCATCTGCTGGGGCTGGGGATGGACAAGATTACGATGGTTCCTAGGCAAGACCATACACCGGGGAGCAAGATTCTTAGAAGGCACAATAGTCCAGCCTTCGTGGTTTGTATGATGCCTACCATGGCAACCTGGGGTAGTAGACCCCTGAACAAAGATTTTGAGAGGGAAAACAAAGCCATTAAAATTTAAGAGAATAGAGGGGATGAAGCCTATGCAGTAGATTCAACAAGGTTGATGATGCAACCAAAGGGGTGGGAGCCTAGGGATTTCCAATGGATAGATATGAAGCTACCACAGGAGTTTCAGATTGCTCTGAAAACAAAATGGGACCAAAGATAGACCAGGATACCATGGACAAGAAGCCATACTTTCAATTTTCGCTCAGCGTCAATAGACTCGGACCATTTCCTCAGAGCAAGGCGACCTCTAAAAAGAAGGCTATTGGGTCGAGCTTCAGAGGGAAGGGTGGGTGGCACCGTCCGGCCAAGAGATGAGATAATTACCGTTGTGCAATGGCCTACAGAAGATGTGGTTGTTCTTGAAAACGTGTTGAAACCATCTATAGATTCCTTTGAAGCGATTTCTCTACGGTGACAAAGAGGCTGTGAATGAATTTTTAAGGACAAGATTCGATCAAGAATCTCAGGGTTTTAGGGATCCAAATTTGAGGGACACCATTGGAGAGGGAAAAATGAGGCAAAGGGGGGGAAGCTAGGACCTTATATGGGGGGCAGGGGTGGGCAGGGGTGGAGGGGGTATAGGATGGGCAGAAGCAACTGGTAAGGGGGCTGAGGAAAGACCAGAATTCAGATTCACAATTTCCGCGTAAGATTAAAAAATTCTTCAGAGTAGAAATTTCAAGGACGGGTTGGGGGAAAATAGAAGAGGGGAGGGAGCATGCAGGATTGACGAATTGGCGGTAGAAGGGGTAGAGGGGGAGAGGTTGGGGAAGGGCATACATGGTTTTTACGAACACGTTCCCTCTTCTTAACTGTGGAACGCCCATCCTAGTTGCATACAGTATGTGCTCTTGTTTTTGCTGAGCAAAATTTGGCAATGTATGAAAAATGTACAAAGCTCCCCAAGAGGCAGAACAGAACCCAAAGAACTCTTAAGCAAAGTAAAAATTACAACATCTTGGGCTGCTTTGAATCCAAAGAAAATACATTTTTTTCAGTATGATATAACAAATTTCATAAAATGTGCATATTAGAGGGACAGTTAAAGAAAATATGAAAATGACAACTATTAACAATAAATTTAAAAAGAAGTGGCAGACAGTCTGACAGCTACTACAGAATGTTGAGACTCTGAGTGTTTATGGCTTATCCACGCTATCTTGATAAAAGACAAGAAAAAAAGCGAGGCAGAGGAAAATCTTGACATCACATAGAATGAGGCACATGCTATATGATAAGCACATACACACACGCCTGCCTGCCCGCCCGCCCGCATGCACCCACCGCAATGCGCACACACACACAGTCATAAGGTGACAGGATAAACATAAGAAGTTTGAAGTTTGAACGGTCAAGGGGAATGACCTTATTTGCCTGAAAATATCAATGCCTTATTTGCCCAAGAATTTTAAAACAGGTTATCTAGGGAGACATGCAAGCAGCAATACCTTACAGCAGGTCTTATTTTCATACAGCTGGCAGAGAAAATACTGTGAACTCAAAAAGCCACTTGCAAATCAAAAATAAAATAACACACACACACACAGTTACAATGTGATGGGAGCAACAAAAGAAGTTTGAAGTTTGAACGATCAAGAGGAATGACCTTATTTGCCTGAAAATATTAATATGTTACTCGCCCAAGAATTTAAAACAGGTTACCTAGGGAGGCATGCAAGCAGCAACACCTTACAGCAGTTCTTATTTTCATACAGCTGGCAGAGAAAATACTGTGAATTCAAAAAGCCACTTGCAAATCAAAAATAAAGTACCTTGCCATATGATGGATCTGAGAAGACAGTCTCAATCGAAGTTTCAGACAACTTCTTAATTTTCTCGAGTGTCCTATCCATTATAGTGAACAATTTAAAACTCTTTTTTTGATTCTTGACTTTTGCAGCAAGCTGTCTCTGAGGTTTAATCAGTTTGATGGCCTGGGCAATCAACACATCAATCATGTTAATATATGTCATCATAACAAAAGGAAGCCTAGAGCACAGTCCATATGCCTCACCTCAGCATGTGCTAAATGAAGAGCGTCAATCAAATCTGCATTTGATATCTCACGTGCTTGCATCTCTATCATTAAAGTCTTATCTAGTGCGCTGGAGTAGACTAAGTTCAGGTCACTTAAGCTAAGCTGCATCAAATAAAGCTTATCATTGAAAAATACCAGCAATATATAAAGAATGCATACCAGGACACATGCATAGACATGAATGCACACTAGTTTCCTGTATCTCAATAATTACAGTACTTACCATGAATGCAGTACAAAAGATTAGGTCATCGAAGCTAAGCTGCGAAAGTAAAAAAGAACTAAGGGTAAACTTGACATTGCTTTCACTCAGCTGCAGTGAAATAACAAGAGTTATTCGCAATTGAAGTGCACATATATGCACTACATACCATCATGCATATTCTTCCTTTTTCTTTTTCTTTTCTCCTTAATGAATACATTCACATACATTCTCACATGCAAGCTAAAGCCCAACCCTAATATCCAAGCCGGAAAAGCCGGAACAAGGAGGAAAAAGAAAAAAAACTTAGCAACACAGTCTGCTCCAGCTGAATAGGACTTCTTCAGATTCTTCAACTGACACAGATTCACTTGGTAGGTAAGAGGCGCATAACTAGACAAAATTTTTGATGGTGCAGCACAAAGACCAATACCAGAGCCTTCAGCCTTCGAAGTTCTGGGCCACAAACAGCAGTTTGAGCTCACATTGCAAGATAGTAACACAATGTTATAACACTCATATCCTAGTACTTGGATAGCCAAGGACCATGCCGACAACTGAATCGCCTATGAAGGACATATAAGTGATCCTTTGGCACTCAACTAGGTATTCTCAACCACAAGCTCCAGAGGCAAAAAGTCTATAAATACCATATATGGAAACAGCCCAAAATGTAATTAAGCTGAATTCTTAATTACTTTGAACACATAACAAAACGCATGTAAATGTATTATGCTCCTGGGGATTCACAGGGCATAAATCGGCAGAGGCAGGGTCCATCTAAGCCTGTTCACTTGAGAAGCACCATCATATTCTTAGATTGTACACCTTGAGTCAATAATTGCTTTTCCGATTCTTTTTTTTTTTGAGAGAGTTAACATTGTACTACTGAAAGAGATGAGTACAAGTATTGGTAAGTCCGAGTTTGTTCACCCGCTAGGGTTGGCTCGGTAAAAAAAAAAGCGTCAGCGTATCATATACAAAAGGGGCTGATCTTGCCAATTTATATCGTCAGCATATCATATACAAAAGGGGCTTATAGATTCCGCCCGAGTACAGGGCTTATAGATTCCGCCCGAATACCTTTCCTATTCTAACTTGAGGCAATTCATGGATTTTCATTTGAGGAACACCCAGTACTTCTTTGCACCGAGAAATGTTAGTCAGATTTGGTTGCATCCACCAAATCAAATAATCCAGGTTTAACACTGATATTTGCAAATATTTCAGATAAAATTTCCTGGCACAATTCCAAATGACCTAGGAAGAGTGTCAAAATGGTATTTTTCTGTCCATCAGACTGTCTTAAATGCCTCCTACCCTGAAATTATTTTGCATACAATTGACAAAAGGTTATGAAGATTCACATTGAGGATATTTGGATTAGTCCTGATTTTCTTAACTAATGGCAATTAGATAAGATTAACCACGAGAATTTACACAAGAACACAAAAGAAACAGAAAGGGTTTCAGGGAATAAACTGTGTACAAACTTTCCTTTATCAATAGCAAAAGAAATAAGGAACTCCTTTCTCAAAAAAAAGAAAAAAAGAAATAAGGAACTCAATTGCCAAAAATAGTTCTCTATAGCATTAGTACTGGAGCAAACCCCAGTATCTTCTTGTTGGGTATTCTTCTATACCATCAGATTCTTCAACCAGCCTTAAGGAACCATGATATGTGCCATACCTCCTAAAATCACATTAACATCATCCAAGCCAACAGAAAGATTGATCATCCTCTTAGCCCCATATGGAAACTAGAGGGAGCACAAATATTCCCTAAAGTTTACAAGACATACTAATTTACTGAATTGAACAAAATGAAAATGTGCAATTGTATGTAATGATAGATGAGGAAAAAATCCTTACTGAGCAACTAGAGTTAGCTTAGAGGAATAACAATCCCTATATAAAAATCATAACACCTACCTCATCCATGTCAGGATTAACAACAAATTTTCCATCTATCCTTCCAATACGCACAACACCAATGGGACCATTCCATGGGATATCTGATATCATCAAGGCAGCAGATGAGGCATTTGCAGCCATCACATCAGGATCTTGCTCACCATCGGAAGAAAGAACATTTGCCATCACCTGTAAAAGGAAGAAAGGCATGATATAAGCATAAGATATGTTATAGTTAAGATCAAAGGAGATATCGACTTGGGCACAAGAATGCTACAAGTGATGTAAGGCATACACGAACCTGGACGTCATGAACAAAACCCTTGGGAAATAGTGGCCGGATGGACCGATCAATGACACGACCACATAAGAGCTCACGTTCCTTTGGAGCACCTTCCCTTCGCATAAATGTGTTAGGAATTTTTCCTTGGGCATATTGCTTTTCCCGATAATCAACCTTATGGCAATCAAAGCACATGCCCATTCAGGATCATTTAGATGTTACACCAAGGGTAGAGGATGGCCGATAACAAAAGACTAATTAGCAATAAAATAACATCAATAAAAAATTAGCAATACTATAATGTGGGATAAGTGGAGAAACCCAAATTAAATAAACTGAGCAACATTAAATTTTCTCAAAAATTCCACACACCAAGAAATAACTAGCTTTGGATGGTGACAAAGAAGCAGACGCGCATGACATTATTAAGAGACTGACAGGACTCAGGATATACAATTCAGTCAATATAGACTTTCCGAAATAAATTATGAAAATACACCTTGCTCAACTTTGAATTGGGAAAAGAGGGAGAAAGGCAAACTGCAAACAAAAACGAACTCCCCCAACTAGGTAAGGGTAGTACTATGACAACTCATTAACTGATAACATTATACTCGACTAAAGCGATTGCCAGTTCATAAAATGCATGCTATTTGATGCCACTTACATGCACTCATTCATGGAATCATTGCTGGCCAGCAGCAAATTAGAAGCGAATCATCAATGGTTATCATTTCTTGACTATAAACTAGAGAGATCGGTTATTCAAACAGAATGCAATTACTGTTAATCAAGGTAGCAAGTGAAAGGCCAAGGGAGGCCACCGAACAATCCCTAAATCACAAACTTACCTAGGTTAAATGAAATGGCAGCGCAGACCACCGGATTCTTGCTTGATTATAGCTTCCAAATATGAAGCAAGAAATAACACACAGTGCCAATTTCTCATGAATGTGATCAGGAAACTTCAACAAACACTACAATACACTTTGTAGGCATTCTGTGATTCCATAACGGGCTGATCAGTTACAGAAAAATCCCTTATTATTTGTCATCATCTTGCATTGAATTTAAAATAAAAAAGCAGAATCCAACTTTGCCACGGCAATTAAAAACCTGAAGATTCTTCCTAAAGTGCATAAAAGGGCACTCCGTATCTTTTACGGCTAGGATGGGCCCTCTAACCCATCTAATGAAACTCAAAGGGAATCCTCATGTGAATAATGGTCAAAAAAGTTCCATTATTGAAATACAAATCCATATAGGCTGCATATGCTGCAGTCTAAGTCGAATTCATCTTGAATAAAGAACCTGCATATCATCTCAAATGGTCCTATCAATTTCCATAATCATCCCTCAAATCCATCCAAAGTAAAATTACCTTTAACATATTTATCTAACTTAGCATGAGCAGGCCAAGAAAAGCTAAAATCCACTCAATTTGCAGACTGTTCATTTGTCAATGCTCCCCATCTGAAGGCCTCAAAAATATTTTTCTTTGAAGCCTTTAAATACATGGCTCTGCAACTCTCATAGCACCCTTTCCATTATAAATCTACTCTCATAGCACCCTTTCCATTATAAATCTACTCTCATAGCACCCTTTCCATTATCATTCTCTCGATTTATTACTTGAAAAATTCTATAACATCCTCTCAATCTGAGGAGACTGCCACACTTCTTACAGTGTGCCAAATCATCACATTGCTAAAAGTGTTCTAAATAGAAAAGAAAAACCTAAGCACAAATGTGATTTCGAGATTCATGACAAAGCAAGCTCATGGATTTCCCCAACTACAAGAATATCAGTTCAAACCTTGAAAAGGATAGGTAAACAACATGCAAGAAAACATTAAAGGAAGCAGAAAATCAGGACACCCACAAGACAGATGCCCGAGTTCAACAAAAACTCCCATGTCTACAAAAACTATTATAAAGCAAAATGAACAGCCTTAGGAACCAAGGAAGGAGATGAACACAAAGAGCCACATTAAAGAAATACCATGATTCTCCTCTCAATTGATAATATGTAAATGTGAAAAATATAAATGATATTGGCAATATGAAAGTTGAAAACGGCAATCACATCCAAATGCACATCCAGGGCATAATGGAAACTTACAGTCAGTGGCAAAAAGTCCCGAGCACCATCTCCCTCAGCTGAGACGACAGTGGAAAGCACTTTAGTGTCTTTAATTCCCAAGACAACAGCACCTGCAGCAAATCTCGCAAGCTTTCCAGTTTCAAAGGTTATTAAACGGGAGCCGACTTCAACTTCTTCAGAATAAACATCACCCATATCTGCAAATTGAATTGAGTGTTAAACATTAAACCATTATGCGGTTTGAGTGTTGAATGTAGTATGGGGTATCTTTGTCCTTTTTATGATCTTTAGGACATTAGGTTTTACTAAAGTACTTATCCAGTTATTATAAATAAAGTATAAGAGGTGCATGTGGGCTGTGCAATTAGTCTACATGCCTCTCTCTCTCTCT